AAGATCCTCATTTCCAGTCGTGGGAATGCTGCAGATGAACTCTGGCTTGGAAGGAAGGGAAGACATTCCACACCTGCAGGCTTTCTCAGGAAAGGGGCTCTGGGCCTGACCCTGAACCTATCTCCTCAAGATTACACCATGGGACCGTCAATATGGAAATAATGTTACTTTATTCCCTTAGTGAGTATATTATTTCCAGTGCTATCAACAGCAATTATAACCTGAAAGGAGGCAGCTGAGAATTTCCATGGAAGAAAGTGAAGAGTTATTTTGAGATGTGCTTATAAATAGCCTAACTACAGTCCATTTTGATGGACAAACATGAGAATACATGAGAATGCCTCTGTATTTATAGATATGTATGTTGGAGCATCCTACTGTAGTTTAATACTGAACAAGGGGCTTAGAAAAAGAACATTAAATTCCTGGATTCACCACTCACTTACATGTGAATTTGGACAAGTTAACTTGATTCTACCTTCCCATCACTAAAACTTTAGGTCAATTTAGTCAGGCATTCAGTGAATCCAGATGTTTGGCAATGTATAGGAAACAACATCTGGATTATTGATCAAATTTTCAACTGAACTCACTGGATGGTTTGGCTGTATGCCCACATAACTCTTAATAGCTTTCTGCCTCAGTTTACCTAGCTATAAAAAGAACAAACATTATTTATTATAAAACTCCCAGGGGGCAGTGAGGATAACATAATGCCCAATGGTAACAGTGAGTTCTTGAAAAGAATGATTCTGTGAAAGTGCTGTATGTTATACGATTCCAGGTTGGCTATTTTCCCCAACATAAGTAGTTAGTCTTTTAGGACATAAAATTCCTTCGAAATATAGTCAAGTGCTACACAAATATAAACATATTATCATTATCATCATCACCATCATCATCATAACATTCTTATGATCAAAAATAGAAATTTTATTGAAGACCTGAATAAAGCCATGGAAAGCAACAAAGATGAGGTGGGGGGGGGCGGGGATCAATGTAGGTGTTTGGAGCCAACCAATTTTAACAGCTCAACTTAAACAGGTAAAACCAGTCTATGGATGTGAAACAATTGGTTACTTAATGGCTTTTATAAGGGAAAAAAATATTCACATACTATTCACGGATGGAAGTAAGAGAAAGGAATTGTAAATTGCGACCTTTCCTACTATGATAATATATTTGTCCCTACCTAAAGTTGAGAAGTTTTGTGGCTGGAAATTAGAGGAAAGGGATATAAGGAAACAATAAAAAGGAGAAAACAATAGGTGGATCAAAGAGATCTGCAATCATACAAAATTGGGGCAGCAAAATTAGGCTGGTAACGATACTGGAATTTTGCTCCCTTTCAAACTCAGGTTCAGCCTATAGAAAAAAAAAAAAAGAAAAAAAAATATATATATATATATAAAGCCAGCGACCAAAATGACATAACAACCAGAATGACCACAGCCCCTCGCCCAGGCTGGCCCTGCCCCCAACGGAGTTGTTAGGGGTGCCACTAGGCAACACAATAGGATGTGAGATTGATGGGGGAAAGTTGAAGAAATAGGGGGAAAGTCTTCAGGGTCTGCAGGGTTGGGGTGGTCAGTCTGGAGTAGGTTTGAAGTATTCTGGGGAAGGAAGAGGAAGATCTGATTGGAAATTGGCTCAGCACAGTACCATTTTCATTGTGAACCAGGACAGCACCAGCAGTGGACTGAATGGGCGATTGTTTCAGGCCTGTGTTTGGGACCTACATGTTCATGGCAGTGGCAGTACTTTCAAAACTTCACTGATTCCAAATAGTAAACAACTATAAATGTCAAAGAACAGAAAAATTCTCTCCAACTAGAGGCCCTGGACATTGCAATGCAACTGAAGGAAACACTACTTAAGGAAGATCTAGAAAAACCGGAAGTATGCAACCAGAGGATTATGGGATTGTGGAGGATGCCTGGGTGCCTACAGCTAGAACATGAACCTGTTATTGCGCATGTACATAGTCAGCCTTATGGTTCTCAGTTTTGCAGTATTTGGATGTGACTCCTGGCGGGAAATTATTTCGACTGAGGTTTGCTGTTCCCTTGCAATGAGGAAGATCAGAATTAAAGGTTTCATTTGTTACCTTGATTTGAAGCAGAGGAAAATGGGATAGTGACAAATAAGAAACTTTGGAGATAGTGAAGGGAAGTTTGTCCAGACTGTTGAGAGCTCAGAAATAGAGTTTAATTGGGATAGAAATCCTGGTAATACCACCTGATGCCTGAAATCTGAGCACTCTACTTTTAGGTTTTCCAGTTCAAAATTTTGGAGACTGTCTATTAAAACATTCCTGGTTGGAAAATGTTTGTACAGAAGCCCACAAGTATTAAGTATTTGCTGTGTTTACCATGCTTAGCTCTCTGTAAGGAATTTGAAATAATGTTAAATGACTTATGTTCTCAAGAAGCTTGAATTTTAAGATAAAAAAGAAATATAAATAGTAAAAAAAAATTTAAAAAGAAGCTTGAATTTTAGGGGGAAAATTAGGAAAGCAGTTAGGGGTAATCAGGCAGGCAGGCAGAACAGTTAGGAGCCAGTAGTCCTGGATTTCGAGAGGGATGTCCAAAATATCCTGGATTGCAAAAGGATGTAGGCTGCCCTGAGGGAACCCCCCCCTTCTCAAGTGCAGGAATTTCATGCACTGGGCCTCTAGTCCTGAATATAATCATCGTAACTGCCACTTACCATGTCAATACATGTTATATATTAAAAATATGTGTAACATAAAATATTATGTATTTAATTATATAATCATATATATTTTTTCTAATTCTTACAGTAACCTTGTTAAGGTATCTCTAAATACTACAGATGAGAAAACTAAAGCTCAGAGAAATTTGTGATTTGTGCAAGTTTATATACCTTGTAAGAGCCACAATCTGAATTCAGGTCTATCAATCCAAAGTGCATGTTTTTTCTACTATATCACATGCTCTCCCGTAGTATTAATATCAAACTTCTAACTAAGTGTTTTCAAAAGGGACTCACTATAAATATTTTAGTGAACATTGTATCATACAGAAAGCCATATCTGATGCAGCTTCCTCTTTTTCCCTGGTGTGTGTGTGTGTGGGGCGGTGTCCATCCACACGTGCTTGTCTAATCTTTCTTATGAATGCCACTCCCCTGCTTGTCTTTACCTACTCATTGTTAATAGCAGATCTTAACACCTGCATCTATCTGGAGTCCTTACACTAACATGTCCCAGCTTAGCACTAAGCAAACTGCCCAAAATTAAGGAGCAGCACTACTCTTCTGGCTCTTCATCATTTTTATTTATATTTGTTTATTTTTATGTAAGCACTTTCTATGCTGTGCTTCCCCTTCGAAGAAAACGGTGAAAACAGTTTTAGACTCCTGCAGAACCCTTAAACTGCCAAGAACCTTGCTGAACACATAGTGGGTATTCTTTAAGTTTGGTTCATCACACATCTCTGTTGACAGGATTCTTCAATTAGGATTATGGGAACAGTGATGGATCCTCAGATTTTGGCCTCACCAATGCTGGGGTCTAACCAATTGAGTGGAGCTGCCCAGATAAAATTGGTCTGAGGTAATTTGGAAATAATTCAGAGGACAAATACTGCCATTGTCCTCAGGTGAAAAGGTACCATGCCCTCAGTTCAGCCATTAGTGGTTTAAATTGTGCTCTGAACCCTTCAAAGATGCATTTTTAAATAATCATACTGTATTTAACCAGGCTTTATAGAACTTAGTGAGGTTGTGAGTTCATAGAAAAAATGGTTATGCAAATACTGCCATTATCATGTGCTCAGCAGCAGTAACAACTATTTATTATGTGCTCACTGAGTGCAGAGTTCTTTATTAGGCGCTGGAGGAGTCACACCCAAGTGTGTTGTAAATAATTTCACAATGTCCATTTGCAATAAAATATTCCGCTATTTAGAAAGCCTTTCTAAACATTTTCTAACCGCAGAAATTTCACTGCTAAACTTCATATTAAAAAACAAAATCAGGCCAATGTTTTCGTTCAGAAACCGCTATCCTTGCATAAGGATTTTAGTTTCATTAAGTTTCTTCTTAGGCTACAAATAGAAGTCAGTGGTGCCAGGGCTCTCCCACCCATGAATCATGGGGCAGAAACGCTGTCACTCTGATATATGTTGGCATTTTTTTATTGTGGCCACAAAGCAATCACAAGCAGATGGTACAACTAACTTCTATTTGTGTCTTGGCTACTAAACTTCGTATGAGGAAAAACTCTGTATAGGTCAAGCAAATCTGTGGGTGTCTCTGTGCAGGCAGTGAGTCAAACGTCGTTACAGGCGTAGTAAAGCTGGTCCTCTTGCATCTTACTGGTGGCACTGAGAGCTGATACATCCCCATTGGAAAGCAATTTAGAAACATGAATAAAAGTGCTCATATCCTTTAAGTCAATAACTCCAGTGTTTTAAGAAAATGATCTAATATCAGGAGAAAGCATTATGTATGAAGATGTAGCTTTATTTATAATGGTAAAATATTTCAAGTAATCTGAATGTGCAGCAAAAGCAAGCTGATTAATTATGATGAATACTTAAAAGAATATTATGGCCACAAAAATGATTAATATGAGGATTTGTGGCAACATGAAAAAGTGTTTCCAATATAGTGTTAATTTTAAGTATGCTAAATCATTTGTATACTTCTAATCATATAAAAAGTCCGAGTGCGATGTTTCTGAATATTAGAAAAGAAGATATGAAAATGAAGAAGTTGGGATACAGTAATGACACTGTGAGAAATACTTTTTCATCTATTTTCCAAGTTTTCTCTAATATTACAATATAATCTTTATGATTTAAAAATGGGGTGAAAAACGAGGGTCAAAAATTCTTTTTAGCAAAGGGAATCCTTGAAAAAGAATAAACAATGGCTACCTCTCCAAAATCCCAAGAACTCAGTTTGCGCAGTGAACATCATCCATCCCTTACTTCTTTGACATTTTCATTCTTGTTGGATATAGTTCCACATACCTGGTTAATGTGCTTCAGCTTGTCAATAATTTGGGAAACCACCGGTTCAGGGCCCTTCATCTTCAGCTCATGGAGGTTGAACTGATTCTTCATTCCATTCCTCGCCGCCTTCTGGCTGTATCTGTAAAGGTGAAGGTAAAGAGAAAGTTTGTCACAAGAGAGTCTGAAGCAAAGTGAAAGCTGACTTATATTTGGCACCAATGGTCAAACTGACCACAAGCTCTCTTCAGACTTTTAAACCGTGGGATGATCCCATGGAACAAAAATAAACCACTGCAGATAGAATCTCTTTACAATAAGAACACTCATTTAACAGTCAACAAACATTCATTCAACATCCTTATTTCTAAGTGTTGGAAGTACAACGATAACCAAAACAGATAAAGTCTTTATTATGCTCTCAGTCTAGTGTACAGTCCAGAAGAGTAAGGGCCAATGGGAATGCTACGGGAGGTCCTGGGTCTTGGCCAGGGAAACACACAGGAAAGACCTTAACTCTGAGTGTGCTTTCTACTCATTTGAAGGAGAAAGACTCTTGCATGTTCTTTACTTCTCCTTTCTTCTCCAATTGCTCCTCCCACAATTTCCCATATGCCTTGGAGCTGGGTTTATTTTCAGGAGGCTTTCCCAAGCCATTTGCAGCATAAATTTCCCCTATATATATATATTTTTTTCAATTAAAATAGTGTAGTCAGGTTATACTTACCATATTTTTCGGACCATAAGACGCACTTTTTCCCCCCCAGAAGTGGGGGGAAAAAGTCCCTGCATCTTATGGTCCAAATATAGCCTACACATATACTTTAAAAAAAAAAGTTTTTTTACTTGCCCGGCTCTGTGTGGTCTCTGTGTGCTTGCCCGGCTCTAAAATGGTTCTAAATGCTGCTGTTTACTTTACAGGGTTGATTACATGTGTTTATGACTGTGATGTTGGGTTTTAATGCACATAAAATATTGTAGGACACTATTTGTTTCAGAATCTTTTTTTCTTCATTTCCCTTCTCTAAAAACTGGTGCGTCTTATGGTCCGGAGCGTCTTATGATCCGAAAAATATGGTATATGCAGAGCCCATGGACATAGACAATAGTGTGGTGAAGGCCTGGGGTGAGGCGGGGGCTGAGCGGAGGGGGGAAGCAGAGGATGTCTGTAATAATATCAACAATAAAAAAATAAACAAAAAAGGTCATTCTCTGAAAAGGAATGTATTTTGTAGCCAAGGTGAAGAGAACATCTGATTGCATTTCTTCTAAAATGGTAGCCTAATATATTCATCTTATTTAACTTTAAAAGTTAGTGAATACACAAATCACCAGCCATTAAATATCAACTGCCTTTGGGGTCTGTAAAGAAACATTTTTTATCAGCTTACTACTAGTGTCCTCTTTTACATTCATATTAGAGGCCCAGTGCACAAATTCATGCATGGATGGAGTCCTGGCCTGCCCCAATAGGGGTCATAGGGCCGACTAGCAAGGGGAGGGGCCACTGGTGGTTGGTGTATGGCCTCCCCCAGCCCCACAAGACCATGAACTGCGCAGGTACCCCCAGAGCACCAGCGTGGCATGTTCTTTCGTGTGCTCCCTCAGTCTCCTCAGTGAGCTTCAGGGCTGCAGGAGGTGCGGTGCTTCCTGGGAGTTGTAGTGTGCTTCCTCCACAAAGGGCCCTGCTGTAGACTGGGCTCTGGGTTTCTGAGGACTATGCCTCATGGCGTACCCCATGTGAGAGCACCAGGCATTTACCATCAGTGCAGACCCGGGAAGCTGGCTATAGCAGGAGGAGGGAATGTGCTCACATGCTGGGCCAGCCTGTCCTGTCCATCCCAATCACTGTAAACAGGCAGAGGCAGGGTGGGAGGAGAATGGGGTGCCACTGTGGCTGCAGTGTGGGTGGGCAGTTGCATGGCAGCATGCACAAGTTAGTGAGGAGAAGTGGTGGCATGCAGGGGTCGCAGTGCACCCCCCTTGTTTGCCTGGAGCACACTCTGCATTCGCCGCAAGGTAGCATTTGTCAGGTAGCCTGCAGGGCTGGACTGGAATTGGGGGTGGGGGACATGGCTGCCCCTAGTGCAGGTTCTTCCAGGCAGGCTTTTCCTCAGTTCTTGCCCTCTTTGCTGTGTGTTTCTCCCACTTCCCAGCCGGGCCTCCTTTGTGGCAGCCACATTTGTAATTTGGTGCTCTCAAGGTCTGGAGGAGTACATCCATGAACCTGTGCCTTAACCCCCTGGGGCTCCAGGCCTCAGGGCAGCTCTTGGATACCTCAGAGCAGGGTAGAAGGATGTGGGACTGATTGAGGTCAGGCTGGCCAGGTGGAGGGGCCTCAAGAGTTTAGGAGATCAGGTAGGTTGGCCGCTGCAGTGTACAGCATAGCAACCATTGTTCCAGTTGTTCTGGTCATTCTACCATTCGGTCGCTGGGCTTTTATATATATATATATATATATATATATATATATATATATATATATATATATATATATATATATATATCCCTCTCTGTTTAAATATCATCTCCCTTGTATGACACCACCAACTCCATCTTTTCTTTATTTATATCTACTTGTGCCTGAATCAGAGGCCATATTCATAGATAAAAAAGGTAAGGTTCATATAAATCTTCTGAAATAAATGTCTCTAGAGACATTTCCTTGGATATGTTTATATCAAAGCTTGCTGGCCACTTTTATGCCCACTCCTACAAAACAAACATTTTCCTGAAGTTTATTATCTTCATTGGAATAGTGCAAAGACATCTGCTAACTTAGGGATTTTACACTACACTCCTTCTTGCAGCTCATTTATAAGTATTAAATCAAATTATTCCCCAGATGATCTCTTGCACCTTCACTATATTATTTTCTGCCATTCATAAAAGTGTCCTTTTTGCTCTATTTTTTGTTTCTTATCTCCAAGCTATCTTTAAGGAACCAGGACTAAATACTGGTCCCCAATTCCATGGTAACTCAATTTTCCAAAAACAGCTTTGGGTTTTAAAGCTTGCCAAACTTTTTTAAAAGTTGAAATAGCATACACTATTCTGCTCCATCAGTGTGCTATTTAAATCCTCAAAGGACTCTAGTAAATTAGGCATGGTTTCTGGTTACAAAAGTGTTGGGAAGAGCTGTCCTGTGGCTAAGACCTACAACTTGCCTTTATTTTATCTGCTGTACAAAGCAGTATCCAAAAGTATTGATACCACTGATGCTGGTAGTTGCTAACTTATTCAGGTTCTCACTCTCCTTCCCTGTAGATGCCTGAAGTTCTCTCCTAATGAGAATTGAGGACCTCACTGACCCACTCTGATGCATCCTGACCTGCTGCCATTGCATCTAAATGTACAGTAGAGACAGTCCTGAGTTGTTCACGCTCCTTTTATGTACATTCCATGTGCCATCCCATATAATCTGTGATGTCTTTGGAGGCTGAGGCTTGGTTAATTCCCTTTTGTACTACCTAGAGCACTTTGTGGTACTTATAATAATGATAGCTGTCAGCATTGAGTGCTTTCTCAGCGCCAGTTACTGTTACAGGAAAAAGAAAGCCTACATTGCCTCATTTAATCCTCCTAACAGCCCTATGAGATAGAAACTATTATTACCAGCCTTTTTTTGCAGTTGAGGAAACTGAGGCAGAGAAGTGAAGTCACTTTCCCAAGATCACACAGCTAGTCAATAGCAAAGCTGGAGTTTGAACTTTGTGAGTCTATCTCCAGGTGCCTCTGTTCTTAATCATTATTCTACTGTTGCTTCCTTAGAAATAACCCATACTGAATAAATATTTGACATTTCCTAACCACACTGCTTCACTGTATATGACAATTTGCAAGCTACTAGTGTTGTCCTACAAGGCTCACAACAGTGCCTACAGCAATGTCTCTCTTTACCGACTCAGCAGATTCCTAGGCTTGCCTTTTAAAAGCCCTTGGGGAGAGCCCTGTGTATGGGGTTTCTTCTCCCAAACAGAGGTCCACAGTATTGCTATTCAGTGAAATATTTACATTCCTGGGAGATAAGGTGTTGAAGTTAGAGAAATAAATAACCCACCACCACCATGCCACTAGACAAACACCAAAGGTGGTTTGAAATCTCTGAGGAAAAAAGGAAAATGAATGCAGGAGACAGTTGTGATTGACGTCTTTGCCACTTTGGCTATAGCAATGTGACATATGTGATGTGTTCTCAGGGAATTTTACATAGCATGTATACTTTGAGCTCCAAGCCAAGAGGGATTCAGTTCGCGGTGTCTCCATAGCTTTGTATTAATTCAGTATTTATTTTCCACTCGCTCCTTCTGTGCCACTGGTGCACATGGTTTGTTATAGGCTTTGCATGTGGATGAGCCATCACAGTCATAATTTTCCTCATCTAAACATTGCCCAGAGCGTCAGGAATGGAGACACTATTGGCCATGGGGGATTTTAATAATGGGTTGTCTGCTCAGTACCACTAACCTCCAATTAGATTAATTGTCCTCTCTTCAGAATATTGTTTCTTTCCTAAAGCTTTGAAATGGTTCTGGCAATGAATACTGGCCAGCTGAGGAGGGAAAATAAATAGAAGGAAGTTCCTACCTCCCAGTTCTAAAGTTTTCTTAACTGGACATGTTGTGTGTGATGTTAGAAGTGTCACCTTTAAGCATTACATGTGGTATCATCTCCTTGCCCCATCTACTTTAGTATCTGTTTAGCACAAAAATGACTGCTATAATAACAAGAAAAACCTATTTGTGAAGTTAAATGGGGGGCATGCTTCTGTTCAGGCAGATTGGTTGGGGATGAGGGAGGAAAAAGAGGGGGGTGGAAACCTGTGCACAAGCCATAAGAGAAAAGGAACCCAATTAAAACAGGACATCTGGGCATGATTGTTTTGGGACAGTTGAAGCAAAGATAGCACTTGTAGAAGAGGAATAGAATCAAACAAGCGTAAAATGGGTGATCTTTTCTTCCCATTTCTATGCTGGCTGAGGCAGCAAGGGTGTAGTAGAAGGAAACCAAATTTAAATGTAGACCATTCCAAATGGAAGCACCCTTAAGAGATCAACTTATCCCCACTCGTCATGTAAATAAAAATAACGGAGACCTAGAGAGGGACTTTCCTAACAGCACAAGTTGTTAGTGTCACAACTC